ACTGTCTCAGCACTGGAGAGTTTGAGGCGTAGAAAACACACAAATTGATTAGTTTCTCAAGCCATGTCGCCCATGTCCCAAAGGGCCATACCTTGGTCTTCTTGGCCTTGCATACGTCACAACTGTTCCTGGGCCGTCTACGGAGCGGAGTTGGTTGCGCAAGCGCTGGCACGGGGAACTCTGGAAAGACTTGCGGTGGAGGCGCTTGAAAGGGCGGCGGTTGGGGCGGCGCAGGCAGCGTTGTCGGTCCTGGCGCTGCAACTGGGTCCACCTGGATGAGCTCTAACAGCGAGCGCAGACTTTGTGCGCGCAAATCACTCTCGAGGGACGTGTTGGACGGTTTAGGCGGGTCTGGCTTAGCCCTCTTTTTCTTGGCCTTGGGCGTTACATCACGCTCCTCGCTGACCACGGTCGCATCCCGAGACCGACTTGCAATGCGGGTCAAGGCTTCTGGGTCGTGCTCCTCGAGGAACTTGCGGCGCTTCGAGTCTTTGCGTGGAGGCGGGGCTCGTTCTTCATACGTTTTGTGTAGTGGAATGTGCTTGTAGAAGACATCCAAGGTCTGCTTGGTGGCCGAGAACTTGATGGACAGGACACCTTTGCAGTCGTATACGGGCTTCGTCGCACGCTTCCCCAGCTTCGCGCCCTTGCCGTTCGCGGCCCGATCTTTGTTGAGCAGCGAATCGTTGCAGTAGTAGGAGAAGCGGAAGCTGTCGTCCTCTTTGCTGTTCCAGCAATTGTGGAAGCTGTAGCGGTAGCCGTCGATGCGCTGTATCGAGTCGACGCAACATTTGGCGATGGCTCGCTGCTTGCGCATCTTCTCCTTGGGGTCCGATGTCGGCTGCAGTGCCTCGACGATGCTGAGGCTGACCCTGGTGTCGGTCTTGTCTCCATTGACGATCGTAGTCTCGGTCGACTCGGTGGGCTGAGCAAAGTCGGGCAGCGTCAGGTCGGTTGCAGGGTTAGAGACGGAGTGAAAGGGTTGCGAAGAGCCGGTATATTGTGTGGACAGGCCATTGGCAGGTAGGTAGCCGGGGGGCGGCTTGGGGTGTTGCTGCCGCTGTTGGTTTTGGCTTTGGCTTTGGCTTTGGCTTTGGCTTTGATGTTGTTGTTGGTGGTGGTTGTTCGGTTGTTGCTGTTGTTGCTGCTGGTGCTGGTGTTGCGGCTGCTGGTGCTGGTGGTGGGGCTGCGAGGGTGGCTCTGGCAGCGACGATGTCTGCTGGGGCTGAGTGTGTGACGAGGCATTCGTGGTGTTGAGGGTGGAGGCGGCGACCATGAAGCTGGCGCCAATATAAAAGGACAGCTGGGCCTCGGTGTGTTCTGGCAGGTCTGGTGGGTTGTTCAAATAGTCGCGTAATGACGTCTCGAAGTTGTCCATCGAGGCAACACTGTAGGGAATCGTCTTGGCCAGGGCATCACGCGGTTGACGGCCGCGAGCGAGCTGGACAGGCTGCTCAGGCCACAGCGCCTGGCTGCTGCCATGGCGATAGTTGGGAGGTTGCGCATGGGCAGCATCCATCGCAAGTGGAGACGCAACCTTCCCAGGACCCAAGGTTCGGGATGATCCCGAGTAGAGAGAGTGTAGAATAGAGCAGATTAGAGTAGAACCGATACCAGAGCCTTGGCGGCCGACCTGGCTCGGCATTCACCATCCACCCTTTGATGTTATACCTTCGACCTCGTCTGTTGATAGAACTTCCTCTCTACCCGATAGTAGTAGTAGTGGCAGTAGTCCTTGGGAAACATCACCCGCTCTGTGCCATGTATGGACTTGTTTCCCAGTAGTCTTGTACCATCATAGGTAGCCTTTACCCAGCCAGAACATGACGCACACAAACTCACACATACGCACTCTCCCCCCCCCCCCAATACATTAAGCCCAGGAGCTTGAATACAGCCCAATTCTACAACAACCA